CGGGCTGGGTGGAGCAGGGCTCTGGGGACCGTATGCCCGCACTTCTCCTCGGGACGGGTGAGCCTCTCCAAGGTCTTGTGACTTCCTCCCCCACTGAGACTTGACCCTCGAGAGGCCTCAGGCACGCGGCTGCTTCCCCAGCCTTGGGCATCAGCAGTGCCCTCTCCTGCTCCCACCTCCGCCCCCCCCCGCCACCTGCTGATCTAACAGCAGGGGATCTGGCTTCCATCTACCCTTGCCCAGTCTACACTTCATGCCCAATTCCTTCAGAGTTTCGCTGCTGATGCTAAAAGTTAGGCATTGAGGACTTAAAAAAAACAGTTCCTGCCAATCAGACGCCTTGGCTTTCGAGGACTTGTCAGTAAGTATCAAAAATCTACTTTGAATCTGTCTTCTCTCTTTGCACTTCGCACTCCTGATCTTTCTCGGGGTCAGGGCACCTTGGACGGAATGCATCGGGGCGAGGGAGGTGCACGCATCCCGTCGTGGCAGCAGGGACAGCCCCAGCTGCTGAGGCCTTCCAGGGCTCGTGCAGGGGACCAGCAAGGGCCCTCTGGAGTCAGGGCACCCAGCTTGCAGTCCCAGTCCTGCCACTGACGGCTGCAGAGTCCGGAGAAGCTGCAAGCGCTGTGGGCCTCACTCCCCTCAGCTGTAGGAAGTGTTTGTGTCTCACCAGGGCCTAACCTCTCCTGGTGAGCAGGCTGTGTCTGGGCCGATCTGGAAGCAATCCTGCATAACTGGGGACTTACTGGGCCTCAGCGTGTCTTCTGTCCCCTGGGACTCGGTTTGCAGTGGGATCCCGGGTGTCGTGGCGGCAGAGAGACGACACCATGTAGAATGTATTGGGCCCTGGATCTGTCCATCTGGGGTCTCAGAGCGCAGGGGGTCGGGAGTCGTGGTTGGAAGGAGCATGAAAAGTAAACCGAGGTGCCAGAGGCCGTCTCACTGCTGGTTACGGTGAACGCCGACTTTACAGAAAGCTATGGGACGACCGCACTTATTTGTTTACCACAAATGCCACTGTTACCACAGATGGCATTAATTTTTAAGAGGAAAGGGAGAAAATATGTCACATTTCTGTTCTGTGCATATGCTGATTGAATGAAAAGTTTATGCCAGATGCCAACGTCAATAAGGACGTATAAACATTGGATTGTTTGCGAGTGTATATACGTTCCTGGGTGCACAGCGTGTGTGTCTGTGCACACAGAGCACTGGTTCTCAGCTCGGGGCCGGTGCTGCTTCCCAGGCGATGTCTGACCCGTCTGGAGGTATTTCCGGTTGCCCCTGGTTGGGGGTGGGGGGAGCTGTGGCACGGAGTGCAGAGAGGCCAGGAATGCTTCTAAATACCCTAAAACACACAGAACCAGCCCAAACCATCTGCTCAAGCACCAGCGTTGCCGAGGTTGGGAGACCCTGGCATCCACGCGCCTCTGAGGCCAGGGGCGCTGGGTGCTGCGTGTGGGCACGGGGTGCCCTGACACCTTTCTTTAGAGCAGTGTTGACACACATCAGCTCGACTCATTCAACACCCTCATCGCAACCGAGTCATCCAGGAGAGACTACGAGTCGCAAGCCGGGGGAGGCGGGTCCCCGGCCCACAGGAGACGCAGCCTCGGGGCTTCCCGGGAACATGCGCAGAGTGGGCTCAGCTGGCCCGCCGGCTTCTCATGCTGACAACTCTTGACTGGCATCTAGTGTGTTGTGTGGCGCCCTGGGCTGGGAGCTGCCATCGTGAAAAGGAACAAAACGAGGGAGAAGGGGGCTGGGGGGGGGCGGGCAAGGCATCTGGCAGTTTCGTCAGGCTTGAACTTCAGCACCCCCCCTGCCAGTGC